AAGGATTTTATTATCTGGCGATTTCCGACAAACAATACCAGTAATTCCAAGATCTGCTGCTGCCGATGAATCAAACGCTTGCCTCAAAGCATAAAATCTGTGGCGATATGTAAACGAATTTCAACTGTCTGTAAATATGAGAGTTGCATTGTTGAACGATCTATCGAAGCAATTGCTGAATATCGGTAATGGCCGTGTTCCTGTTGACGAATTGAGCAGTTTTATTTCATTTCCTCCAAATTTTTGCAATTTCGATGAGCTTATCAACAAAATATTTTCGGATATAACTGCTAACCACAAAAATACTACATGATTAAGTGAGCGAGCAATTTCGGCAGCTAAAAATAAAGATGTATGTAGATGACCTCAATTTTTTAATTCAAAATCAAATCGTAGGTACTCTGAATTAATTCAAATCTATCTAACAAACGAATAAGAAGCCCCTAAATGTCCAGCTGGATTTTTGAACTCCTTGGATGTGCCTGGTTTACCATCGTAAAAATTACAACTGAAGGCTGGTTCGGTAATACAAAGAACGTTGTTTACCACAAGGTGCTTGAATGAAATTCCGGTTAATAAATTAATCAGACTGTGTTTTTATCATCCATTCATCATAATAAAATACTGTTATATTTCTATCTATATTAATATTGTTCAGCTAAAAGGTAGCACGACATTCTTTGACTGTGAGGCGGTACGAAATTCGCCGGGTTAGCTAGTATATAATATTTCAAATCTCTAGTTTCAGAAGTGCATAACATACACCAGAGTTTGAGCATTATAGTCATATAGTAACTTGCATGGCAGATTTTGGAAATTGCTGTCCAAAAGAGCTTCTAAATAATTGCATTTAGTTTCATGTACAAGCCTATATTTCGAACGACTTGGTTTTAATTTAAAATTGTTTGCTGTTCCTTAAATTGAAGGTAACCTAAAAATATAGGTAATGCAAGAGAGATTTACACATAAGGTATTAAGCAATATATTTGGCCAATTGACAAATGGTATGCAGCGCCTAGCGTTTGCGTTTAATAATGGAGTTGGCATGCTCCCGGTGCCAGTCAGTTCAGCGACTTTTTGAATCGCCATATCCTTATCTGGAACAGGGTTGCTTACGATTATGCCGACGTCTACCCATCTTCATAAAGCTCGTGGAAGGCTGCTCCGCCAAGCCCCGCAGATCTCTTCAATATAGGGAGGAACGACTACTGCTGTGTACGAATTTTTCCTAAAGGGTCTTAAAAGTTATCCATTTCATCACCTTATAGCCCAATGCCCGGAAGAATGCACAGACGTCAGCATCCATAGCTCCAATACTCCATGTACAAAGCGCAGAGTGGGTCAGGAACACTACCCATACATTTCTAGCCAGAAAAAGACAAGTCGTAATTTTACATTTTTCTTTTTTTATTTGCATTGATACATGTTTCACTTCTCCACTCTTCTTCGTTTTTTCGGCTTGTCTTTGTTCGTATTCATATTCGTATTCGTATCCGTAGTCACCTCCATCTAATAGTACACATAAATGTATGTAGTTTCGGTTTCTCGTTTTGAATTTGACCTCTTAAATGATATTATTTAAGTAGATATAAATTTTCTGTTCTACAGTTAAAAACTACACTTTAGTCTGCCTTCGCTATTCCAACTGAGTTTTTATTTTGTTTCTTCTGTTCTTTTTATATTATCTCCTTTTCATGTATATGTGCATATACATACAATTATATTCAGCTATGGTTGAATTATATCATTTTCCCCTTTCGATCGCTTTCGGCATTACATATGTATGTATCAACATCTGTGAGTTAAATGTTATGCAACTTTTATATAGCATATTTATGAGGGCTATTTATCAAGTGAATATGCGTGTGTGTGTGTGTGCGTGTTGTTTATCTGTGACTGCAAATAATTATAGAGTAGTTATAAGGGCCAGCAGGAGATTTCTAAGTGGTACTGTTCATACGATTGCATATGTATAGATAGCTGTGCAGGAGTCTGCGTCGATTGCATACCTTTAAGGGCAACACTAGTCCTGAGTCTGCAATTAATTCAGTGTTTGTGACCGTGTCTAACTTATATGTATGCATAAGCATAAGTATATTCTGCATAGTGGGGCAGACGTGAGAAAGTGGAAACATCAAAATATATCTGCAATTAATAAACTGGTTTTAATTGGCCCCTAATTGACAAATAAAAAAATCATATGCAGATTAACTAAAGTATATTTTAATTCGCATGTTGAAGTATCCGAAGTACACAAATAATCATCGAATGATATTTGTATTAATATACTTATAAAGTCGAATTGGCTGATGATGTTCGAAAGATAACAGCTCCAAATCCGAGTCTAAAATCTGAAGAGCTGTACAACACCAATTCAACTCACGAGCATAGATAACATTAGACCTCAAAATACTTGGCTACTTTTTTACCTGTGGCAGTGAAACGAAATGAAAGCGGTTCCTAAGGCTGACATGATTTTAAGTTGAGATGTATGTATATAATTGTATTGTGTTGTACTGTATTGTAGTGTGTTGTATTATAATGCAGTGTATTGAAATGTAGTGTATTGTATTGTAGCGTATTGTAATGTAGTGTATTGTATTGTAATGTAGTGTATTTTATTGTAATGTATTGTATGGAGTTTTATGGAATCGTATTGTAAATTGTATTGTATTGTAAGCGTAATCCTAATCATCTCAAACTGTAAGAGCGGATAAATACTATTGTATCTACACTTCTCTGTTGTCTATTTTTAAGAGAGTTTGCATTGAAAAGTATTTAAATATAAATTATTTAAACCTGGGGCATTGATCTTGGTTTTGTGACTGCTTTCGGATTCTAATTCGGATGTTATAAATTCGGATTATTCGTAAGTTGCTGCATTATGCTTAAAACGAGAGCGTTTACTATCATTAAAGGGTGGGTACAAAGGGTTCTCCGACTGCCATATAAGAAATACAAGTTTGTGACGGACTGTTTTACAATTAAATGCTGTGCGCGTGCGTATTTGTGTGTGAAATTATTCTGTATGATTTGAATAATACAATAAAGTCAAAGAACGCTCGCTCTATTTGGCTGTGATGTTTTGAATCAGAATATATATATTCATACATATATATGTATATATAACACCGAAACGATCCAACTCGTTGGTTTCTTTAATGTATTTATATGAATACTACTTATGTGGTATGTAAATAATTTTCATGTTCTGAATGTGAAGCAAATGGCTGCATCAATACATGAATTACAAATTCTCATTGTTTTTTCTTTCTCTTTTTTATTAAATATACAATTACTATAACGTTTCACCTAAACTTTTCTGTTCGCCTCTCATTCTTCATACAAATGTTTTTTTTTTTTTATTTTCTTTTTATATAAAATTTTGTATGTAAGTTCTATATATATATATATATATATATATATATTATA